GGAAAAACAAAACCACCAAGAGCAACTTCAGTGTACATGCTTCATTTTCCACATAAAATAATAAAACTCAAAATATGCAAATTTTGTTGAAAGCGAAAGCAATACAAGTAGTTTTCTAGATTAAGTTACCTCTCCTATCCCTGCTGCAAAATGAATTATCTTTGAAATCACCACAGAAAATGTTCCTCTGTGAGATAAGAGTGCCATCTTATGGTGTTTCAGAAAATAGCAAAGGATGATCAAGAAAATTTACAGCACAAAATACCCACTGAAGTTTAAGCAGGCCCGTATGAAGGAATTTCTGTGGTTGGTGCTTTTTTTGGAAATGTCGACTACAAGGGTGTGAATGCACCCCTGTGTTCCCCCAAGTAAGTGGGCAAATCAGCCCCAGCCTTCCCGCAGCCAGCCAGAGCACGGGGGAGAGAGGCTCGGGCAGTGCACCACTCCTGCTTTCCACTGGCTGGGTGGAGCATGTTTACTTGGGAGACCATGAGGGGGTGCTTTTGTACCCTTCACACACACACACACCCTCTTTCGTGTCTCACAAACAAGATCTGAATTTATTTTACTTATTAGAGGATAATAATCAATTTACTGTGTATGGCATTCAGAACTCAATATAGCAGTCTGGTTTCATACTAAAAGTGGCCTCCAGCTATGAACAGAAAACATCTAAAAAGAAAACAATAATAGTTTATTGAACTCTGTCAAGTTTAACATAGCCTAATTCTCTATGGTGTCATTGAACCAAAGGCAAGGGGAAACAGTTTACTTAGTGTAAGTTTATCTCCATAATCTAGTTGACAGACTCTTCGAAAGAGTGGTGTGCTTAACTCTATAGTGTTTCTTGGTTTCTTTGTGAAAGGTTGCAGACTATACGAATTTCTGTTGCTTGATTTTCAGAGTCTTGGCGACCAGAATATAAGTTGGCTTCTAGATTTAAATTTTTACCAAATCTAGTTATGGTTAAACTTACAAGTATCGGTTCACAGATAAGTATGGAGAGTGGCTAAGCACCTTTCATCTCCTTATTTGATATGCAGAAACTGGTTTTCTGGTCTGTTAGTGAATTTTGAAATCACCAATTACTATCCTAACCAACAAGCAATACATAAGGTACCTGGCCAATATATACTACGCAGTAAGGATAACACATTCCACTATTTAGGGGACATGCTACAGCCAAAAATGAAGACGGCTCTTCCCTTGATCTATTTGAAATTCCTGACTAAAACCTCCTGCATATTTTTGGAAGCTATTTCTATTGTTGGTGTTTTCACCAATTGTTTGTTACATTCCAAAGAATGCAATCTGTCACAGATTTGAAACCGGTTATAGACCAGTGTGATTGATTCATTTATGTTTGGACCCAAAGAGTTCCCGAGCTAAGTAAAATCTCCACAATGTTCTTGTGTTCTGTAATACAGCATTTGGTTCTCCGATTTACCACATTTAAGAAAAGTGTGTAAAATCTCTTGTCACTATCCAAATCCTTACTTTTCTCTGAACAGACACCTTCCAAAGCCCATTATAATTCATGATCATTAAAATGACTTACATACCTGTCTTGTAGAGAGCAGCATAAGAATCATGTTTATATTGCAGAACAGCACCAAAGATTTTCCAATTTCTTTAGAGAATTCAAACACAAAACTCTGAGGATATGCTTGACTAAGGACCCAAACTTTTTTTTACGGAACAAAATGTCTATGAAAATCTGTGTCTTTCAGAGGCTGCAGTTATCACCTAAAATGCTAAGCTATCAATGTTGTTCTGGGTGGCTCTGGGAAAAAAGGTCTGATGCACAGTTGCATAATTGTTTAAACACATTTTCCTCACTATATGTTTGAGAAACTATGAAATTCAGTCACTCTAAAAGCTTTTACTTTGTAATTTAGTCAACAACTTAGTCTTAAATTCCCCCAACCAACTTGAATAGCTCATTTATATCAACACCTACTATGACTCCAGCAAAAAAGTAGTTGTAGAGAGAAACTGTACTTACAGGAGTGCTGCCATCAGAAAAAGTATTCATGCTGATTGAACTGCTCATCTTGTCAGATGACAAGGAAGGTGGTGATGGACTGCGCTTCTCCAGATGATTCTGGTGTGGCAAGTCCTGACGCTGCAGATATTCACGCCATGCTCTCTGAATACTGATTGCAATTCAAAATACAGGTGGATATGTATAAACAACAGGTTCTCCATCCTGCAAAACTTCATAAAGATCTAGGAGACTCTCTTTGGAGGAAAAGCTAAGTGCACTGTATTAACAAAAAGGTATCCAATTTATTTAGCTCTCCTTTGCTTTGTGACTTACCTGCAAATAGATAGGTTTTACTAATCTTGTTATTTTTCAACCTACATTATAAGTACAGATTACTATCCACAGATGATTCTCATACTATTCAAAATGTCTTTATTATTTTTGGTGTGCTATTGGATGTCTAAGTCAAATGGTATGGATTCTGCTCCTTGATTGGCTGAGACGTTATAAACAGAGGAGAAACATTAGTGGTGTGAATAGTGGATATCCATAGCTACAGTGCTGCACAGATACAAAATTTGCATCTGCATCTGTATTCACAAAAATAAGCCACAGATATCCATGGACATAAAGCGGATATTGGTGGATTTGCAAGGCTCTATCCATAGACATACACAATACACTTGTGTTCATATATATGTAAGTTCAGTTGTTCACACACACACAACAGTCAACTACAACTCCAAGAAACGTTCAGACAAATGCCCACAGAGACGCAAACAATGAAAAGTACTAACATGGTTGACCCAAACAGCTATTCAATACGGGGCATTTGCATTAGACTATCGATTCTAACAAAGATATTTGCTAGAGGAAAAATATTTGTGCACTTTAAAAGTGTAACTGGAAACAAAAATTATTTAGGAATTGTTGGAATTACAAAGGTGATTTAACTCACTGAAGATTAGAATTATGTCAACAATTCTAAAACCACATAAATAAGTGGTAATAAGTCAATATCTGTCTGATCAGAGAAAAGATGGGCTTCAGAAGCTTATTCATCAATCTTGCTGCTAGATGTTGGTACAGACACACTGGAATATCAGAGCCTAGACCATGGTCCATGCTGAATTCCCTTTGTCAATCTTGCTGCTAAATGTTGGTACAGACACACTGAAATATCAGAGCCCAGACCATGGTCCATGCTGAATTCCCTTTATGCTGCTGTAGGTAGACAAAGGGAACTTAAATGAGCAACTAAGGAGTCATCCGGAAAGGGGATGTTTTCAGCTGTCACAGAACCATGTTCGCCCTTCCATGGAGGCAGGATGCTAAGAACATTCCAAGGTAATCCTGGAACATTCTGTGCCTCTGTGATCCTTACAATATGAACCTTCTAATGACTTTTGTGCAGAAAAGAAAAATATGACCTTATTTGAATGCAACATGAATGTCTACTAGATAATTTGTATGATCAGTGTGGGCATTTTTCATTGCAGTAATTCCTTCTCTTTTCAACATATACATCCTTCACTGTAATTCCACCTAGCCAAGACATCAGCAGAATAAGATTTTAAGAGATCATTAAAGGTTCTGATCCAAACTAGCAAAAATTAAACCCATAAATTAAGATTGAATTTGTCTTTGGAAAAGTAGCATCACTTTGGTAGACTCTTCTTTTCACAACTTATGCTAGAAGCTTTTCATTCCAAATTTTAAACTTGAAACTAATTAATAAAACCTCATATTAAATTTAGTAAAACACTGTGATTTGCATTTAAATAGACTGTTAAAAATAAATGTATGAGTACCATGCAGTATATACTTGATTTTATGTGTTCAGCAAATATTGACAAATCAGAAAAAGACTTAGAAAGCAAAGTGAAATTTTATTTTTATAGCATGATTCCTCTTTCCTAATTATCTCTATTGCTGTACTTGCCACCAGATGGCGGTATAATATTAACTATGCATTTATAGGGGAAATAACTCCTGTATTACATTTTTAATAAATAATCATTAAACTATCAAGACTAAAAACAGCATTAATGTGAAATTTTATAATTCATATAAAGTATTATATGTGTATTCTGTAGAAAATCAGTCCTAAATTCTATTGCTGGTCTCCTTATTTCTGTCATTTTACTCTTACAGATTATTGATAATAACTTTTAAATTTTAAAAATGGGGATTTTCTTTTAATTTTGTGTGACAATTAATAAAGATACAATAATCCCCAGATTATTTTGATATTATATTTATTTATTTTACACTCCATTTTTCAGTTTTTTATGCTCACCAAACATGAAACTTAATAAGGACAAATGCAAAGTAATCCACTTAGGAAGGAACAATTTGTTTTATACATACAGAATGGAAAGTGACTGTCTAGGAAGGAGTACTGCAGAAAGGGATCTACAGGTCATAGTGGACCACAAGCTAAATATGAGTTGAGAGTGTGACATTGTTGCAAAAAAAGCAAATATGATTCTGTGATGCATTAACAGGAGTGTTGTGAGCAAGACACGAGAAGCCATATGTCTGCTCTACTCCGCACTGATTAGGCCTCAGTTGGAGTATTGTGTCCAGTTCTGGGCACCACATTTCAGAAAGATGTGGAGAAACCGAAGAACATCAGAGAAGAACAACAAAAATGGTCTAAAAATATGAGTTTTGAGGGAAGGCTGGAGGAATTGGACTTGTGTAGTTTGGAAAGAGAAGACAGAGGGAACATGATAGTTTTCAGGTATCAAAAAAGGGTGCCACAGGGAGGAAGGGGGGAAATTGATCTCTTTGGCCTCTTATGATAGGACAAGAAGCAATGGGTTTAAACTTAAGCAAGGGAGGTTTAGGTTGGACATTAGGAAAAGCTTCCTAACTGTCAGGGTGGTTAAACACTGGAGTAAATTACCTGGGGAGGTTGTGGAATCTCCATTACTGGAGATATTTAACAGCAGGTTAGACAGACATCTATCAGGGATGGTCTAGACAGTGCTTGGTCCTGCCATGAGGGCAGAGGACTGGACTTGATGATCTCTTGAGGTCCCTTCCAGTTCTAGTATTCTATGATTCTATGAAAGATCTTTTTTATTGACATAAATGGAACAGAGAAGTTGTGAAGGAGAAGACTTGGGGCTTTAGATGCTGTGTAAAAAGGGAATTAAGATTGTTGGCACTGAGGAGATGGATATGAGAGGCATGTCCACACATTGGATTGTGTGATAAGCACATTAGTTACTTGTTCCTGCTAAAGTCACTCTTCTATTTCAGCAACGGTGTGTTTCATAAAAACTGCAGAGGACTAGCCATACTACATGCCAGGTTCAGAGGGAAGGTGTGCCTTCTGCTAACTACGTTCCTTCTCCTTTCCACCTGTCAACAAAGCATAGGGTTGGAATAGAGAAGTTGGAGTCTCCTCCCCTGGTCACCCATTGGTTAATCCAGTAGTGTATGAAGGAACTGATTGGCTTTACCAAATCTCTCATCCCCTCTGTATTTAAGCATTGTCAGCATATAGCAACCATTCCTGCCCTGGATGCTTCCCCAACCCCTTGTCCTATTGGAGATGTAAATGTGTCTCAGATGGGTTTCCGGGCTTGCTGGCAAAGTCTGATAAGAAACCCTGAGCCTTCCTTAGGATCAGAAAGGATTTTTTCCCTCTGAGCAAGATTGGAGTCGGATGGTAGGATTTACTTTATTTATTTTATTTATTTATTTATATTAATTATTAATCATCACAGCATCCTGGAGGTGTGGTAGGTGGAAACAAAGGTAAAGGGATATCACCTACAGGAGTGGAGATAAAAAAAAATCCAATATAGTTACCACTTGCAGCTGCTGTCTAGGGTGAGTAATAAGATTCAGGGGCCCAGCTCCTGTAAAAAACCTAAGCACAAGACTTTGGAGATAGTGGTGGACTATGAATTCCCATCATTTGCTCTCATTCCCATTTACAAGGGGAAGGCAGTGGGCAGAGCTTTCCTGTCCATTGGACAGTTTGGGGGGCTCTGGGTGGCCTGGGGAATTAGCAGGAGGCTGTGTAGAGGTACTCTTAGAGAGAGATGAGGAAAAGGTTCACTCAAGAGTAACAGAAAAAGGTACTGGAAGGCAGGGAAGCAATACTAGATGCTAGTTGTAAATTATTCACAGCATCATCAGTCTCTCTTCTGAGAAACTTAAAAGGAAAAAACAACCACTATGTGACCAGGGGTTAGAATGTGGGTAGAGGGCCCTACAGACCTTTGTTCAAAATTCAGCAATGAAAACTAGATACCATCTCACTATTTACAAATAGCACAACTACCAAATTTTGTGCCTCTTCATATAACATATTTTTATAAACAATTAATGAGCTATTTTTGCATATTTGCACATCATTTGTATATCTCAATAAATTTCCACCCATAATCAACACAACTTTCCCCAAGCTGTGGTAGGGGTAGGACATGACATTGCAGAAAACTTTGATTCTACGAAGCTGGGGTAGGTAGGAGGCTAACCAGGGGTTTGAGGATAGGTTGGATGTCAGGGTGTTGCTACCAGGGTCAGGTACAATTGTGGGAGATGGGTGTCTGGAGCTGACAAAGGATCTGTAGTAGCTGGAAGACTGGATAATATTAGGAATTGCTGTTGGGAATGGGCTGGCATAGCTGGGGGTGGAGGAGTTAGAGTGCTGTGTTGGTAGCGGAGGTCCTAATGGCTGTGGTCTCTCAAAGACCTGACTGGGGCATGGTCAAGGTTTTTAGGGTCTACCTGGGAGACAAGAGTCTAAAGTCTCTATAGTGCAGTAGCTTGGGGGTTTGGAGGAACCTTGGCTGGGACTGAACCTCCTTACTTTCTGCTCCTTTCAAGTCACCTGCTGCTGCCACTCTTGTTTGGATGGAGCGAGGAGATCAGCTGGAGGGGAGGCAGACATGAAGCCTGATGACTTGAAGCTTGGCTTCACAGTGGCCTCAGAGGGAGTGGCAGCACTTGTCATCAGCTCACATGTATAATATTCAGACAGAGCTGTAGACATGAATGACAGGGCTGACAAATATTGGAGAGTCACATGAGATGCATGGCACCTGGAGGTTTGGATGGAGCGAGGAGATCAGCTGGAGGGGAGGCAGACATGAAGCCTGATGACTTGAAGCTTGGCTTCACAGTGGCCTCAGAGGGAGTGGCAGCACTTGTCATCAGCTCACATGTATAATATTCAGACAGAGCTGTAGACATGAATGACAGGGCTGACAAATATTGGAGAGTCACATGAGATGCATGGCACCTGGAGTAGCAGCCCTGAGAAAACTATGAAATCATTCCTGACATGTTCTGGATTATTTCACAAATTTGGTGGCCTGTTGTGTTATATGCTCAGTATGGTACCAATCTTCCATCAGAAAAAATGTATAAATGCCCAAGGTTCAGGTTTAGGTTCCTCATCTTTACAGAGTAGCAAATATTTCCAGATGCAGTATTATATTCTAGATTTTTGACCATCTATTTGTTCTACACAGTCTATCAGCAATTCTCCTGTACTTCCACATTTATTTGTATTTTGTGGGTTTATACAGCATGACAAATTAATATTAAGCCTAGTACGTCTTCCATTAATCTTTTTTGCTCTCCCCTGAATTGTCCAGAATGTTGCAATTTTCATGAGTCACATCATTTTTCATCTCTACATCTAAGCCAATCTCATCAATTGGTCATTTCCCATAGTCTTCTATGTTACTCCCCACTAAACTTTTCCATTGTCTATTTCCAGGTGCAAGTCTTAAGATAATGAAGTCCAAACTGCAAAAGAAACGATTCATTTCAAGAGAAGAGATCTTCTAAAATGAAGACATGCTCATTAATTTTGTTAGATTAAAAAAAAGAGATCCTCCTGGTCTCATTTGTAACTGGGTACAGTCACAGATGCGGAGCGGTGACCCTAAAATACTGGGCATTTTTAACAATTTATGAAGCTCCCCAAAAAGGCATGTACACAATGGAAACTGCTTGACCAAAGGGGAATATCTGACCCCCTCCCCCAAAAAAAAATCCCAGCAAGGATCTTTCTAACATCAGGAAAAAGGTATAAAGAGAAAGATAGTGACATTATTATTTGGCCTTTTGTCTCCCTTCCTGTTCTCCCTACCACCACCAACCACACCATCTCAATACCTGGAAGAACATCTGGAAAAAGACTGAAGTGGGGAAGATTGGTCCCTGGCTGGAACGGGGTCCAGTCTGTGTACTGAGGAATAGTAAGCTGCCTGTAATATCTGTTAGGATGAGACAATGCTTGATTCCCATCTTGTTTAGTCAGTTTAATTTAGAATTTCAACTGTGAATTTATTTTTGTTCTTAACTAACCAGCATCTCTATGCCTGCTACTTATCACTTAAAAATCCATTTTATAATTTTACCTAAAACAGTGTTTTGGTAGAAGTCTTTGAGGAATCAGTTCAGACTACAAAGGCTAGTGTATGTCCATTCCACACTGAGGGACGGGAAAACTAGGTAATAAGCTTACACTGGCCAGGCTTCCAACAAGTGAAAGAAGGTACAGTTCATAGAATCATAGAATCATATGGAAAACTAGTTAATAAGTTTACACTGGCCAGGCTTCTAACAAGTGAAAGAAGGTACAGTTCAGAGGCGCAAGATTGGGGAGCTGGGGGAATTGGTTGAAGCCTCCTTATTGATTGTTCATGATAACTCAGCCATGTGTTTCCCTGCCTGTGGGTGGCTGTGTAAGTGCAGTACCTCTCAGAGGCTTGTAGCTTGAAATCAGCTCCACAGTATGGGGGACAACCCAGGCTGGTGAGTTTGGAGGACTCAGCAGTCTCACAGTCCAGGTTACACCTGAGAACCCTGTGATACCAAGGCACTTAGAAAGCTGGCTTAGGCCCAAAATCCATTATGGCATCACCAGTGTGTAGATGCTTGGGAATGACACACATAAGTACATTTGCTTTGACTTTAGACAATGATTTAGAAAATGCTTAGAGAATATAGAAAGACTTCAAAATTTAAATATCATTGAAGTAGTTAAATTATGATTTAGAACTCATGACTTCACACATGAAACATTTATATCTTTTTCACGTTAGTCATTTTTATGGTTTAATGCATTACATTTACAGGGAGAGGCATTTGTCTGTAACACTTTCCATTGTCAATAAAGGGAAGATATAACATTTCCCAGATATAACTATCTTCTAGAAAAATTCTCTGGAAATATATATGTTATTCAGCCAATATTTGCATCATTAAATGACACTGACTGGATTTTAATTTGAAACCTCACGTATCATTAATATTTTAATATAGTATTAATATTTTAATATCTTTAAAACATTTCAGCTTTGCTTTCCAGTAGAAAGTGAAATTCAGTGTGAAATGTAGTTAGGAAGTATATTCTTAATGCAAACCTTTATGCATTGTATCTCTGAAGTCCCACAAAAGATTGAGTGAAGCGACTTGAGGCAACTTAAAAACTTAAACATCCTAAGTTTTCTAAGGTTTAAAAAATGCTACAAGAGGTCATCTTTCTCCATTTTCTCCTTCCCTATAGGGATGTGCAAATTATCTTCACATTCAGAACCTGCCTGATAACTGTAATAGTGCCTCAGTTTTACATGGTTAAATACAAAATTGGTGCAACCGTAACAAGTACAGGATTGAGGCAACTTAAAAACTTAAACATCCTAAGTTTTCTAAGGTTTAAAAAATGCTACAAGAGGTCATCTTTCTCCATTTTCTCCTTCCCTATAGGGATGTGCAAATTATCTTCACATTCAGAACCTGCCTGATAACTGTAATAGTGCCTCAGTTTTACATGGTTAAATACAAAATTGGTGCAACCGTAACAAGTACAGGATT